GTCTCTCACTCACTCACCCAGGCTGGAGTGCAGTGGTGCAATCATGGCACATTGCAACCTCCAACCCCTGACCTGAAGTGATCCTCTTGCCTCGGGCTCCTAAGTAGCTGGGACTATAGGCACATACCATCATGCCTGGCTAATTTCTAACTTTTTTAGAGATGGGATCTCGCTATGTTGCCCAGGCTGGTCTCAAACTTCGTGCCTGGGGCAGTCATCTTGCCTTAGCCTCCCAGAGTACTGGGATTACAGGCCAAAGCCATTGTGCCTGGCCAGGTCTTTTTGAGGGTGGTGCTATCCCACGGCACTAATGAGAAAGTTGGGTAGAACCAGAGAAAGGAAACTTGACAGAAGCAAGAATTGTGATTGAGAATCACTGACCCTTCTAGTTTTCTCCAGTCACAATTACATTTTGCCCATTTTATTTGACCAGTAAGGTAAAAGCCCACGTGGGAGGAAAGGGAGTTGCTGTTTCATAATGGGTCAAAATAAAAATCCCATTGTCCCAAGTCAAGCTTTCAGACAGGCTGACTTCCTGCATTTTTCTATGTCAAAATAAAAGCAATTCCTTTATGCTGTCAAGCTGCAGCCAAGTTAAGTCTTCAATATAGTCATGCATTGCTTAATGGCCAGGACACGTTCTGAGAAATGTGTCGTTAGGCAGTATTGTCATTGTGCAAACATCATAGAATGTAGCAACCCAAACCTAGATAGTATAGCCTACTAAAACGCCTAGGCTATCTGGTAGAGCTTATTGCTCCTAGGCTACAAACCTATACAGCATATTACTCTACTGAATACTATAGGCAGTTGTAACACAATGGTAAGTATTTGTGTATCTAAACATATCTAAACATAGGAAAGGTACAGTAAACATATGGTATTGTAATCTTATGGGACCACTCTCATATATGGGGTCCATCATTAACTGAAATGTTGTATGTGGCTCATGACTGTATGAGAGACGCAATGATTTGAAGACAGAGCAAAGGTCACAAAGGGCTCTATTAGTTTCATTTCCATGGAAAGACTAGGATTAATTAATACATTCAGTATTGATAGTTCTTACATTTGAGTTTTAGAGCCAATAAGACTGACGTGGAAATGCTTTTCTGGTTTCGTTTCGGTCTATTTAATTACCTCCACCATTAGAAAGGTTTTTAAAACTCTGGCCTCGTCCTTCCAATTTATATCCACAGATGCAGCTTCAGTTCTATTTCATGTTTTATTTTATTCCATGAAGAGATAGAAAGTGCCTTCTCATCAGAACAGCTGTTTTCACCCTTTTCCCCTCCCAAGTTAAGCCTGAGCCCCTGCCACACCAGTTTACCTCTCACTGTGCTTCTTCACCGCCCTGCTCTGCAGCTCAGAAGTATCAACACTGTGTGGTCCCTTTCATCTCTTCATAATTCTTCCCCAGCCACTTAGTGGGTTAGTCAGGCCCTGCCTTCTCTTCAGCCAGCCCTGCAGTCCTGGAAATATCTTGAGTGAGCCCTGGAATCTCTGCACAGGGTGAGTGTCCTGTTATACATCTTCAGTCCAATATTTTTTGATTCATGAATATTAAAGATTAGAGATCACAAGGCCTTACCACCATCTTGCACCCTGTAAAAACATAATGACTCTTTTATTTCATGGCACTTGACTTAGTTTATTCAGCATGATCAGGGCAGCATTCAGGCTATAGCAAGCCTGTTAAATATTTACCGATGAGGCGGATATTTATACATGAATCAGCAGCACTTATCAGTGTGTGACACTGGATGTAGATTTTGTACCTTACAAGCTAAGAAACTACTGAGTTAAATACAGGGTGAAATGACATCCTTTAAAAAATAAACTCTCAGTTAAAACTATATTTCATAGTACCCGAAGTGCTTTACACCTATTGAGGCTTGCCCTGGGCAGCCAACTAAGTCATTCAGAATTAGACCTGTCAGAGTGGCTGGCCTAAATTTGAGATCAAATGAATCTGATGGTTTGATGGTTGGGGTGGGAGAGTACTGAGATATGAACAAAATTAAGAGGAGTGCCTGCCTTGCTGCTGTGTGGTAAACTGTAAAGGGAGATGAGCCATACGTCACAAGTGTCTACTTAGGTGATGGTCTGAAGCCTTCATCATACTGGCATGCTGGCCTGGCTCACTGATAGCCAGACCCACTGTTTTTTCCCATCCCTGTAGTCTTTTGTGATTAAGATCCCCCTCCTTTTAGGGAAGTCACCTATTTCAGCAGAAACAGCCTGAACTCATGGCAAACCTGTGTTCAGATCTTGGTTTTACCTCTGTCTAGTTGTGGGAACCTAGGCATATTTTCTGTTCTCTGAGCCTCAATTTTTTTCACATGTAAAATTACAATGATACTTCTACTTCTTACCTCTTTGAACTATGGATAACATTAAATTAGATAATGTGACAAAGCACCTAGCAACACATGTTAGTTCTTGGTAGTGACAGAAGCAGGGTGTGGAAACATGGGCCTGGCAGTGAACAGCTAGTCTTTGAATCTTTTCACACTTCTTTTCTGCTTCTCTCCATCATTACAGGTAACTTTTGTCTAACGGCTGTATTTCAGAATGACACAATCCAAGCAGAGAGAGGGATAGCCTTTAGAGGATTATTCAGACTGTTTTCCTTCCTTGTATATAATTTAATGACTGATTAAAGACTTCTCTTGTAATATTTTATATAAGTCAAAGCCTATTACTGTCAGCGTCAGAGAAGCATCCAAATTATTTTCTTTTTTGGAATTTTATTATGCCAAGGATAGTTCCTCTAAGTGAGCTATTAATAGCTTAGATCTTGCCATTATCTATGTTGTATAGATATTCCACCAGTAGCTACAGGACATAAATATTGTATTTATTTTTCTTGTACTATGGATTTTTTTCATCATCATTTTTCTATCTTAATGAAAGCATTAGAGCCTTCTGGTTAGATATGTGCCTCTGTGTAATTCGTACATAAAAACAGAAGACAGAAAGCCTTCCTTTCGTTCATAGGAAGTCACAGGAATTTTCCTAGCCATCTTCAGAATTTAGGCTAAATCTAGTGCAATGCCTACTCTAAGAGAAGCAAAAGGAAATGATGGTCTTGCTGATTCTGTGCAGTTGCGGAATGCAGATGATTCATTAATGTCATACTTAGTCAAACACTGTCTTATAATTTTTCAGTTGTCAGAGTTGTGCTTCTCGGTAACATCTGAGTAGAAAAAGTCAATATTTCCACTCCACATTGACTTCCTTGTGTCACTCAAGATTTTGTTCATTTAGATTTTTATTTCCATGAGAAAACACAAAATTTATTTTTACCAGGAAAATTAATTTCAGAAATCTGTAGTCAATAGTAAGACAGGATGGATTTGGAGTCCTTATAGTAGTGTTTTATACATATATATGCACATTCACACACATTATCCCTGTATCACAAACCCTAGACCGAGTCAGACTGCCCCAAACTCTTTGTTTGTTTGTTTTGAGACAGGGTCTCACTCTATCGCCCAGCCCAGGGCACAGAGGCACGATGTCAGCTCACTGCAACCTCTGCCTACAGGCTCAAATGATCCTCCCACCTCAGTTTCCCAAGTAGCTAGGGCTACAGGTGTGCACCACCCTGCCTGATTATTTTTTAAATGTTTTGTAGAGACAGAGTCTTCCCATATTGCCCAGGCTGGTCTTGAACTCCTAGACTCAAGTGATTCACCCATTTCAGCCTCCCAGAGTGCTGGGATTATAGTCGTGAGCCACTGCACCCAGCTACCCAGAACTCTTTAGAAATGATCTTTTAGGCAGTTATTGTCACACCTTTTCTTCCACTTAAAACCTTGTAACTGTGGAGTCTTGGACAATAATCCAACATTATAAATAATCACACCAGTAATAAGTAATCACAACATTAAGGGATTTTAGGGATTTAAAAAAATATCCCATCATATTACAGAGAGAGGTTAGGGCTTATAGAAATATATGCATTAAAATAAAATTAAGAAAAGAAAAACTAAAGCAAAAGGAAAGTGAGTACAGGAAAGAAGATGAAGTCAAGATTCAGGGCAGTAAATGAAATGTATGCTTTAAAGTTCTGAACAATTTTTTAAAATAATTCTATGCTGGTTAATTTAAACTGAAAAAAAGAATTTTTTTTTTAGGACTGAATTTCGCTGTATCACCCAGGCTTGAGTGCAGTGGCGTGATCTTGGCTCACTGCAACTTCTGCCTCCTGAGTTCAAGTGATTCTCCTACCTCAACCTCCTGAGTAGCTGGGATCATAGGTGCCCATCACCACACGCCCAGCTAATTTTTGTATTTTTAGTAGAGATGAGGTTTCATCATGTTGGATAGGCTGGTCTCAAACTGCTGACCTCAAGTGATCCTTCTGCTTCAACCTCCTAAAGTGCTGGTATTACAGGCATGAGCCATTGCGCCCAGCCTGAGAAAAGGAATTTCTGAAAGTTCTGGAAACTGTTTCTGAATCAACATTGTATCTTAGTGCTTGGATCAATGATTATTGACTGTACCTTCTTGTTTAGACTGCACCTTCTTATATACCTTTTGGAATGCAAGGTAATGGCTAATAAGCTGTAGAACCAGTCTCTTTAGTACTCTGCTACAGTGTTGCATCAATTCATTTTAGTTCAGTTACAGTATTTAATGAATAACTTATCTGTGCCCAGCAATGAATTGGGCATAATGAAGAGTATAAAAGTGTATGTTTCAATAATACCTATAGCCCATTAATGTTGGTAAGACATTTGCCCATGCCAATCAAAACTTTCTAATTTGTGCTGTTGTGTGATATCAGTGATGTATAATGCAAACACGCTAATTTAATAAAATGAATTAAAATACAGATATGTAATCATAAAGTGAAGCCCATATACCCATCATCATTAACCTGGGCAGTTGGTGGCTACATTCCGGTGAGAGAAGCCAAGTCTGCTTGGGGTATCATTTCCAAGGTTGCTTGAGCCCTAAGAGAAGTGTTCATTGTACTCTTGTCCTTTCAGTGCACTTGGAGGCTCCTCAGCTCTTCATATCCCAGCCTTTCCAGGAGGAGGATGTCTCATTGATTACGTTCCTCAAGTATGCCACCTGCTCACCAACAAGGTAAAAGCAAGTCTCTGGCTCGTCCCTCTTGTGAGATTCCTTCCTCCAGTTCACCATGTACCCAGAATCATTGTGCATGCTCCATCTTTCTTAGACCGTCTGCTTGGTTTCAGCCTCCATCTGACACTTGCCCTTCCTACTATGAATTACGGTTCATCTGTTTCTCTCCCTATTTCTTTGTCCTCCTTCTTCCTTTTCTAGGGATTCTGACCTTCTGTTCCAGTCTTATCTTAATCTCTTAACTTTATGCCTGAAGTCCCTCTTTCTTGAATTCCCTTTACCCTAAGTTTTTGTCCGATCTTGCATCTTCTTAAACTTTAAAACTTTGGAACGCCCTTGCTTCCCAGTTATCCAGTGCATGCATGTGTGTGTGCATGTGTTTGCCACTAGTTGATACCAGAGTAATTGTTTAAAATTGCCTTCATCTCTTTCTCTCTGTTTCTGTACCTCACTTTTTAATTGTCAGACTTTGATTCCTCCTGTCATATCTGGGAGCAGTTCACTAGAGTCCTGTGCCTAGGGGCAAGATTCCCAAGTCAGCTGGTATTTTGTTTGTTTGAGACAGAGTGAGACTCTGTCTCCCAAGTGGGAGTGCAGTGGCACGATCTTGGCTCACTGCAACCTCCACCTCCCAGGTTCAAGCTATGCTCCTGCTTCAGTCTCCTGAGTAGCTGGGATTACAGGCTCCCACTGTCACACCTGGCTAATGTTTTATATTGTTGTGGAGACGAAGTTTTACCATGTTGGCCAGACTGCTCTCGAACTCCTAACCTCAGGTGATCCACCAGCCTCAGCCTCCCAAAGTGCTGGGATTACAGGCGTGAGCCACCATGCCCAGCCAGTCAGCTGGTCTTGTACTCAGTCAGATGACCTAAGGCTTCTCTTAGCTACATTAAGGAGCCATTACATTAGGAAGTAGCTGAGCCTACTCTAACGGTTTTTGTAAGACATTTCCAAAAAGTGTAAGAATATACTTGTTAATGTCCAGCCTGTATATTTAGCTGAAAACGAGCGATACTGATGCACAAGCAATACTGACTCTCTTTCTTCTCCCACGTGGACTGTGACTCAGTTTGTTTAAGTGCCAGAGTGCAATTGTCTTTGCTCCTGTTGACTTGTTTACATTGGCTTGGAAAATAGATCTTTTGTCTCTTTCACTCAAAAGATAGCTCATTTCTATATAGAAAATAGTTTAAAGGTACAATAATATTTCAAAAGCTTCAGTATTATTTTTCAAATGTCAGAGAAACTAAAATCTGGCAACTCTGCAGTTTGTGGGGCTGCACAGATTCCAGGCTTTAATGCTCAGACAGGGGTTGCTTCTCATCAGACCAAATTCCCCCAGCCTCTGCCCCGCTGCAGAACTGATCAGAGGACAGAATTCTTATTTACATTCTTTGCACTGCCTTCAAATCTGTGTCCCAGAATTATGGAGAAAAATGCAAATTTCGCCTTCCAGAACAGAGAAGAAAAGCCTTTTTAAAGCTCTCCAATTGAGATTAATTTCTAGTCATACATTTTCCTCAAAAAAATTATAATACTGTTTTCCCAGAAATATAAGAATCAGTCAATTTTTCTTATCTGGTTTCCTTTCATTAATTTTACTTGTCTTTTGAAATTGGTGTTCTTCTGTTTGCCACAAATGAGGACAGTATGGGCTGCTTTTAGAAACAATCTCTTCAAATGAATTTCCATAATTATATTGGAATCTATCTTTATAGCCAGTTTTGTTGTGGGTTTCTGTTAAAATGGTTTTCTGTTTTTAAAATCAAGTATACAGAACTGTTTTCATCCCCTTTTTAAACAAAGCCACTTAAGCAAACTTATCATCTGTTTTTCTTTTCCCAAAATAACATTTCTGATCCTGCATTAAGCCTGCAAAGTAAGCACTGTTTTTACAAATTGACACAAACCCCTATTATATAAATAGAATTGTTTTACATTTAAAGGGTACAACGTGGCTATCAGTACCAATTGTGTCAAGGTTATTTCAAGCGCTTTATCTTGAGCTTTTGTTAGCTATGGAAACTCAATGTGGCTATAGCCAATATAAACAATTTTGGGGGTCTGTCCTTCCCACTGTTTCTTCTAGGCATCATGAGAACATTATAAGGAATGCGTTTTCGTGTTAGAAGCCAGTGGGTAAATGACTAACTTTCAGATGCCTAGCTTAATGAGTTCTCAATTTTTTTTTAATAGAAACTGTCATTTGGTGATAACAAGGCATATAAAAAGGCAAAGCAAAATAAAATCTCCTATTGTAATACTCCTTATTCTGAATATTAGAATTCTAAAAAGAAAGAAGCATTATTCTGTTTGTTTTTTTTTTAATAGGAGCTCAAGGTAACCAAATAACCCCATTTGATGAGAGAAAGCTCTTGACAGGGATTGTCAGCTGATGTATGCAAAAGGAATGATGGGATTCAAAAATCATTATTTTGCAATCCATAATGAAATCATTGATTCAGACAAGGATCTCCAATAAATACAAAAACCACTAAGTGAAAGGTTGATGGGAAACTAGGTCTTTCCATGCTTCAGGAGGTGCGTCCATAGACTATTCACTGTGGCAGAGGGAGCATTCCCTTTCAATGGCGTGGTCTGGCTGTCATCACCTTAGCCAAGTGATCAAGCCCAGTATTGTCTAGGAAGTTTTCTTGCCAAAAACATTCAACCTGCAACTAATCACCCTTTAGGTCTAATTTCTAATTTATAGGAAATACAGAGAGTAAAAGAAAAAGGAAGAAAACAGAATTGAGATGTTCTACAAGACTACTAGCCCAATTTCTTTTCTTTTTTTTCTTTTTTTTTTAAGAGATAGGTCTTGCTCTTTTGAAGAAATGAGGTCATCCAGGCTGGAGTACAGTGGTGCCATCTAAGCCCAATGCAGCCTTGAACTCCTGGGCTCAAGTGTTCCTCCTCCCTCAGCCTCCCAAGTAGCTGGGGCTATAGGTGCCTATCGCCACACCCAGCTCATTTCTTTTATGTTTTGTAGAGATGAGGTCTGGCTGTGTTGCTGAGACTGGTCTTGAATTCCTGGCCTGAAGTAATTGTTCTGCCTCAGACTCCCAAAGTACTGGGATTACAGGTGTCAGCCTCTGCACCTGGACATAGCCCAATTTATTTGAAAAGTCAGTGTCATATATGTGCATGCAGGCACACACACATACTCACACTCAAGGAGGTACAATTTATTCTAGATATAAAAGGCATTAAAAACAAATGGCTGATCCTTAATTGTACACTGCTTTTTAAAAAACATTTTGGGTCAGGCTCAGTGGCTCCCACCTGTAATCCCAGCACTTTGATAGGCCAAGGCGGGCTGATCACCTGAAGTCAGGAGTTTGAGATTAGCCTGCTCAGCATGGGGAAACTTGTCTCTATTAAAAATACAAAAATTAGCAGGGTATGGTGGCAGGCTCCTATAATCCCAGCTACTTGGGAGGCTAAGGTAGGAGAATTGCTTGAACCCAGGAGGTGGAGGTTGCAGTGAGCCAAGATCGCGCCATTGCACTCCAGCCTAGGCAACAAGAGCAAGACTCTGTCTCAAAAAGAAATTGTTTTCAAAGTAAACAATAAAAATTAAAACATTTTGGGGACAATTAGGAAATTTTGAAAATGGACAGGGTACTATATTAATTCAGAGACTGATTGCTAAGTTTTTTGAGTACAATAATGGTATTGTGGTTATATAGAAGAAAGTCTTATTTTTTTAGAGATATATACTGAAATATTTAGGGGTGAACTGTCATGATGTCTCTCATTTCCTTTGAAATGTTGATTGATAAGTTGATAGGTAGATGGATGGCTGGAGGAAGCAAGTAGGCACAATAGTCATAGTTGTTGAACGTAAGTAGTGGGAATACGGGTGTTCGCTTTACTATTCTTTCTGCTTCTCTGAATCTTTGAAATTTTTTATAATAAAGCCTTTAAAAGCTTCCCATTCCACTTCTCAGCTTTGGGTTTCTATTCCAGGTGCAGTACGTGATTCAAGGGTATCACAAAAGAAGAGAATATATTGCTGCTTTCCTCAGTCACTTTGGCACGTAAGTTCTGCCCTGTTTAAATGATACACCAGTGATGCCCTCACTTGCTGATAACCTCAACATGGGGGCTTGATTAAGAAAATAGCACTTAGTTCTTACACATGATATCTTTTTAATGCCACTTTGATCCTTTTTGGTATGCTGTTTTTATCAAAGCTCCCAGGATCCCCTTCTTTTTTGTATTCTTTGGCAAATGGTAGAATCAAATACCTTCCATAGAGCAGCAGCAAGGACAACCCTGAACACAGCAGTAGTAATGATGGTAACAGTGACTTGTTGTAGAACTCCCTACAATTTACACAGCATTCTCACCTCCATTCCCTCACAGTAGCCATGGGGTGAACCAGGTGGGCATCACTGACACATTCTGTTGAAGAATGTGTCATTCTTCAGAAATTGCAGTAAGTTCAGTAGCCCAGTGGAAGTCACACCCCTAGAAGAAGTGGAACCAGGGCAGGAATCCCATTTTCCCAGGACTCAGGTCTCCTGACAGGACTCCATTTGCCAACAGTGCCACACAGATTTGGGGAGGAAATCCAGAATTTGATGTAAAAGCAGTGACTCATACTTGAGGTTAGGAGCTGAAAGCAAGCACCAAGATGGGAGAGGAAAGCCTGTGACATGGAGAGCGCTGCCGGCTCCCCCATCCCTGTGCCTTTGCCCTTTCCTTCTGGCTGCCCATGGCTGTGCTGCCCTGCAGCCCTGTTTCCTTAAATAAATCAGAGGCCTGATCAAGCTTCTCCTTGGGCTTGGCTCAGTGGAAGAGGGAATGTATTTTCCTCATGCTCTTTAGAAGGTAGAACGTTCTACCCATTGTGGGTAACTAGGCAGTAAGGGTTTAAACAGTCTGATGATAGCCCACCTTATTCCACAGAAGGCTTATAAATATATAAATATATCTAGTAATATAAAATTAAAAATTTAAATAAGTAAATAAAGAAATTAGGAAAAAAGGAAATTAGGAATAGGGAAGAGAAGATGAAACCAAAAATAAGAATTTGTCACCCTCTGGGATATAATTTTCAAACTGTGGCACAATTATTAAAAAATTTCTGACTCCTCAAACCAATTTTAAGACTTTTTTTCATTCCCATAAATGAATTTTTCATTTCTCCAAAATAGAATTGTCATTACCCAAACACTATGACTGTTTCTCACACGAGTCTTTAATACTTAAGGTATTTTTCAGCTTTATTTGTGAACATTTTGAGAAAGGACTTTTGATACAAAGAGTGGTTAATAAGTAATACCACTGGTCTTCTTATTTTTCAGTAAGATCTTTGGTATATATAATTGAACATGAAGAAGCTAGCACAGTGACCTCCAAAATGGAGTACACACACCCCAGGAGTTACACAGTTTACTCTATTGGAATACAAGAAAACTATGAAAATTACATTTACATTTGCTTTCAAATCTCATTCTTTTTTAGTGTGCTCTTTTTTGTGTGTGTTTCATTATGCATGTAGTATAGTAATATACTTAAAAAGATTACATGCTTATCTTTGCCTATGGGATGCAGGACCTAAAATGTTTCACTATCAGCACTATAACATTATTGGGCTAATTATAAATTCATAGAGAGACCAGGCACGGTGGCTCACACCTGTAATCCCAGCACTTTGGGAGGTCGAGGCAGGCAGATCGCCTGAGGTTAGGAGTTCGAGACCAGCCTGGCCAATATGGTGAAACCCTGTCTCTACTAAAAAATACAGAAATTAGCTGGGCATGGTGACAGGTGCCTATAATCTGAGCTAGTCAGGAGGCTAAAGCAGGAGAATTGCCTGAACCTGGGAGGCAGAGGTTGCAGTAAGCCAAGATCATGCCACTGCATTCCAGCTTGGGCAACAGAGTGAGACTCTGTCTCAAAAAAAAAAAATAATAATTAAATTAAATAAATCAATAAATTCATAGAGAGAAATATCAACTAATGACTAGAATTGTTGACTTAGGATCTGAATGATATACCAACTATTTTGTAGCAGATCACTTGGCCTTCAGCATCTTAGTTGTTTTACCTTTACAAAGGTATAACTGTTCCTTCCAATTTAAACTGGGCTGACATCAATATCAATGGCCTGATTGGCCTGGTCTGGTCAGGGGTAGGGCATCTCTAAGGACATCAGAGTCCTCCTTGTATGGATGAGAAAGAAAATTTTATCTGTCCTTAGTGTGGTTAGTATTGTCACATTATGGCAGCATCCCCCAGGTGCTCAGCTCTTAAGGGAAATGGATAAGGTGAACCTACAGAATTCCGCCTGGCGCCTTCGGAGGTCATGGGGTGTTCTCTTTTGACACAGGACACGTGCATCTCCCCTCCTGATCCCAGCGTCCACCCATCTAATGTTGCTACTTTATCTTGAGCCCAGTGAGAAGGATGGGGGGAGGGGGGACACAAGTGAAAGGATTCCACATACTTTGGAAGAAAAGTGATATATAATACTAGATTTAGTAATAGTGTAATCATGTATTGCTGTCTAGTGCCCAGTGAAAGTCAGACTTAATCACTGTACAGGTAGTATGCTGACATTTGGCATTATAGTGTCATTGCTGACTTGATTTATTAATATGTCCTTTTACTCATAATTAATGTAATAACTAACATTTGTATAGTATTTTATGATTCATCGTATTTGTTTTTCACAATCCTGTAATGAATTTTGCAAATATTTTTATACTTGTTTTGCAGGTAAGGAAACTAAGGCTGCAAAGGTTAAGTGATTTGCCTGAGGTCATAGTAGATAGTCAATGGCAAAGCTGCGACCTAAGCCGAGATATTGTCATTTCAAACCCCAGTCCCTTCCTGCATTAATCCTCATTTGCCTTCAAGACTTCATGAATATATTCTTTACTTGGTTTCATCACTTTTATGCCTTATTTTTATGAGGGTTCTTTTTTTGTTTGTGTGTGTATGTTTTTATTACTTAGAGGTGTCGTGGAATATGATGCAGAAGGCTTTACAAAACTCACTCTGCTGCTGATGTGGAAAGATTTTTGTTTTCTTGTACACAGTGAGTATACTTTTGCTGTCAGCATGTCAGCATACATTTTTAAATGTCCTAAACCACATGTCAGAATCAGTACAAGAACCTTTTGTAACCTGTCTTGGTTCCTTTTACTGTGGTGTATATATATTTATTGTGTGATCTTAAAGAGAAAATATCTCTAGACCAGTGGTTTTCAACCACTGGAGTGATTTGGCACCTCAGGGGACGTTTGGCAATGTCTGGAAACGTTTTTGATTGTTACGACTGAGGGGGTGGGAGTTTGCTACTGGCATCTAATGGGTAGAGGTCATTGATGCAGCTAAACATCCTACAGTGCATGGGACAGCCCCTCACATATAAACACAAAATTATTGAACCCAAAATGTCAGTATTGCCAATCTTGAGAAACCCTACCCTAAACAGATTTCTGTTTCAGATTATCTTTATGGTATCAGGCCTCAAGACTTTTAGGATTATTGGAGACATACCTGCTGTGATCATTTGGTTATCATCCCTATGAAATGAAAAGTCTAAAACTTTGATAAAACGTAATCATAACTTAAAGATGGGGCAATGTTTTAATGCATCCGCAACGTCATTTCTTGACATTCTTCTGCATAGTAGGCATATTTAATGATCGTTGTCACATATTAATCAATCAGTCCATAAACATTGCCCCAGCTTTCTCTTGATAGAGTATTTTTATTTCCTGATTATGTAAGAACCAGTGACTCATGGAGTCAGGTTCAAGTTGTAAGTCAACTGAGACCTTCACTCTATAGTAATTTGGTATGTACAATGTTTAGTCTTCAGGCCAAGGCAAAGGAGCTATCTTTCCCAGCTTGAGTTAGAGAAAAGCAGTGGTTTTGAATTGACTTCACTCAAACCCACTGCTTTTAGAACTTACCCTATGCCTTAATAAACTACTGCAGGAGGAATAACTTTGGTTGTATTTAACCAAGGCATCAGACAGTATAAAGATAGTGACTTTAAGGGATTTTTCTTCCACAGCAGATTTACCTTCTTCATTGTGATTTGCTTCAGTTAAAATAGTTCTTAAGTTCATTTTTCTGCCTGATTTCACACCAACAGATAGTAAGGGAAAAAACCAAAAAGCATCTGTAGTGGCAGAAAGAAGAAAACCTCCAAGTAAATCTTTATCATGGTATAATTCATGTAGAGATCATTGAGCATAGGCTACAGTTGTAAGGAGATGGGCCTCTCTGCCTTTAGGTGTTGCCCAACAATCACCACTTTTCAAGATGCCATGCACCTTGTCTCCACCATAACTGACAGCCTGGGGCCAGGTAAAGGAGGAAGCCTTACAATCAAGGCCTCCTGGCAATCTCCTCTTTGCTCACTGTCTTCGATGGCCCTACTGATCTGAGCCTACCACTGATACTGCTACCACCACTTTTGATTCTGACCTTATATGTCCTTGCTTTGGTTTGGCATTCTGAGGCTTAATTCCTTTGTGAAATCTCACTTCCTATTTGCTGTATTCACTTTACCTTACTACCTTGGTCTCAGTGATTCTTTCTCTAACCTGATGACCCAATGCCAGATCTTGACTGCTTCCTTAATTTATTAATATTTCTTGTGACTTGGGAAAGTTGCCTGGTATGATTCCCCTAACCTAGCTCAAGAGGGACCTGGCCTTATCTCAAATGATGGTGGTGATGGTCTCTTGCCTCCTGAGTGGCTGTGGACAACTCCATCACAGCAGGACGATTGCCAACACTAATTTAGATGAGTGCTTCAACCAGTTCCTTCATCTCAAAGTGGCATAACAGCCCAAGTCTGTTTTTCCTGAATCTTTGGTCTCCTAGCCATGGTTCTACTTTCTGTTGATGTCAGATCATATCAGAATAAGGGGGAAAATATATTTCATGGCACTGCTCAATTATAACCTGTGTTTTCCACATGCAGTTCAAAGATGAATATTCTGGTGGTTGCTAGCAAGAAAAAATTGTCGCTTGCAGTGATGGTCAGGGATAAAAGAATATTCACCTCCCAGCTTCTGCCAACTCCCTCGTCAGTACATTCAGTATTATAGCTGTTGCTGTTGCTTTTGAAGGTCTGTGCCCCACAGAATATTTTCTCCTTGGTACTATGTGTTCAGTACTTCTTACAGCTCCTTCTCCGCCTTTCTATCTTAGCTTTTCCAAATCAGACATGCAAAATTAAATCCCAGAGTCGTATTTTCATTTCATTTTGAATTTACCTTCTTCAGAAACATAGAACCCCTCGGCATTCATTAGAACAGCTACCAGGGACCTTGCGAGTTGTTTCATTTACTTTTTCCAGTGAAACAACTTGGCTCTTCTGGCAGATAAGACCTTGCCTGTGAATCAAAGGACTTTGATGCTGTTCCCTGCTCCATCACTAACTCATAGCCTCTCTTTAAATAAATTATTTTTACCCATTTTCTTTTTTCTTATCTAAAATATAGGACTTGCTATCTCAACATGAAGCTTTGTTAGATAATGTGTTTTACTTAGTCACACAGTTAGTTAAGCATCTGACACTTACCTCCTTTAGAAGCATCTACTGGCTTGGTTACAATGCCCAAGGGACCACTTGTTCCTTTTTATCCTTTCCATGAAAATGGGGAGGGGAATATGAGGTGGCAGAGACTTAACAAAGAACATTGCAGTGAATTATTCTGAGATTTCAAGGGGTGAAAAGGAAATGCCTGGAAATAGAGCCATTCCCCTCTGGCTGCCTCTACTACTTCATGGAGGTTGAAGACCTAGCAGGACATGAAATAGCATCTCTCTTCTCCCCTTCCTCCCTATCTCCCTGGGCCCAGGAAGGTTGCTATTGAGAGGACTGCTCCTGGCAATAATTACACACATTTTGGATGCTTGAGGAAAGAGGCACTCTTCTTGAGACAGATAGCTCTGACCTCAGACTGTGCCAGAGTTTGCAAAAGCAAGATTGCCTTAAGGAAAAGCATTGTACAGATTCGGGATCTCTCAGGAGGTATTACAACAACCTGGCATTCTGGCAGTTCAGGAGGGGGGCTGTGGCCATGACTGTAGCCATGGAGCATTTCCTTCCTTTATTCCTTCCTTCCATCATTCATTTTCAGCAGGTCTCAAATTTTGGAACTGTAGCAGGATCAGAAACTTGCTCCCATCCAGAAACTATTTTTAGGAAAGTTTCCTGGCCATCATCTAAGGCCAGGGTAAAAATAATTTATTTAAAGACAGGCTGTGAGTTAGTGATGGAGCAGGAAAGAATTATTCATAGCAGTTGTATAGGTAATCCATATTTGCCAAATTATGCTTACCTCTGGAGGTACATGTTACCTTTAAGCTAGTGGCTTTTTTCTTTCTTTAAGATGGAGTTTTGCTCTTGTTGCCCAGGCTGGAGTGGTGCAATGGTGTGATTTCAGCTCACTGCAACCTCCGCATCCCAGATTCAAGCGATTCTTCTGCCTCAGCCTCCCAAATAGCTGGGATTTCAGGCATGCACCACCATTCCTGGCTAATTTTGTACTTTTAGAAGAGCTGGGGTTTCTCCAGGGCTGGTCTCGAACTCCTGACCTCAGGTGATCTGCCCGCCTCGGGCTCCCAAAGGGCTGGGATTACAGGTATGAGCCACTGCACCCAGCCCACTAGTAGCTTTTCAGAATGCAGCGTGGCAAGAGAACCAGATAGCAAGGCACAGTAACAGAACAATAACAAAAAAAAATCCTCCAGAACAATAACAAAAAAAAAGCTATGTGCTTTTTTCGCGGGTCCTAGTCAGCTGCACTATAAGTAGACACACAAGGAGGCAGCTGTCTACAGGAGCAGAGTTGCTGCTTAGAAGGGGAGACAGTTGAGTATTGAGATTTGTGACTGTATGACAAGCTGTCTTTTTCCATTACCCATAAATCTTTGGTAAATGACCCTTTGAGTCATTCAGCCTGGGCTGTAGGCCTTGTCTCCCTGGTAAAAATTCCTGTTAGACCAAATCTGACCATTTTTTTCTCTTGTTTGGTTCTACTTCCAACTTAACTGAGTTCTGAGTTTACTAAGAACCTACTGCATGCTCATTACTATGCCAGATATTAGAGGATATAAGTACATAACTCAGAACTGACCTTAAGATACAGTAACATAGCACAGAAGTTGGAAAACTACAGCTGTGGGCCAAGTCCCATGTCAGCCTGTTTTTATAGGGCCCTTGAGCTAAGGATAGCTTTATTATTATTATTATTATTAATTATTATTATTGAGACAGCGTCTCACTCTGTTGCCCAGGCTGGAGAGCAGTGCGTGATCTTGGCTCCCTGCAGCCTCCGCCACCTGAGTTCAAGCGATTCTCCTGCCTCAGCCTCCCAAGTAGCTGGGACTGCAGGCATGCACCACCATGCCCAGCTAATTTTTGTATTTTTAGTAGAGACCGGGTTTCACCAAGTTGCCTAGGCTGATCTTGAACTCCTGGCCTCAAGCGATCTACCCATCCCAAAGTGCTGGAATTATAGGAGTTAGCCACTAGGCCCTGCCCTAAGGATAGCTTTATATTTTAAAGGGATTGTTAGAAAACAAAAGGAAGCAGAAGAATATGCAGCAGAGACAGTAATATATGGTGTGCAAGGCCTTAAATATTTGACCCTTCACAGTTTGCCAACTTCTTATCTAGTTGATGAGAAAAAAGATTAGATCAAGGTGAAGTACAATAGTATGCATTTTTAAAAATAAATATTTTATGACTTGTCTATGCAAGACACAGTTCTGTGAGAGAGAGCCTCTCATACGTTATGTCTGCCTCTGGAGAAGGTGTTCTCTCTCTCTCTCTCCTTTTGAGACAGGGTCTCACTCTGTCACCCAGACTGGAGTGCAGTGGCGCGATCATGGCTAACTGTAGCCTCAACTTCCTGTGCTCAGGTGTCCTCCCACCTTAGCCTCCCAAGTAACTGAAACTATAGGTATGTGCCACCACGCCCAGCTAATTTTTTGTAGGGACAAGGTTTTGCTGTTGCCCAGGCGGGTCTCAAACACCTTGGGCTCAGGGGATCCACCTGCTTCAGT